CATACTTCCACATTCCTAGCATCCATGCTGGATGACTTTGGATCAGCCTAGTCTTAGTCAAACACTACAATTCCATTGTTACCCCTTTGGCTTTGAATAGACTAGTCCCAAACAAACACTGCAATAACAATGCCGCCGCCGCTCGCTTGCAATTGAGAACGTGTGGTTGGTTTTGATGCCAATTGTAAGGCACCTAGGAGAACTCACCCCTGATTGCTTCCTTATAACCCCGCAATTGACTCCTTGTTTAGTCAATATGGGAGTAAACGCGCCCTAACATAAACATGATCTAGGCCCGCGGTATAAGTAATTGCATGTATTCGTTGCCACGCGCATCAAGGGGCTCTGAGATGGATCATGTTTAAATGGTTTGCATGTTATCTAGAACATCATAAAACATCTAGAATTTGGTGTAAAACGGTTTCACAGTATTCAGATCAATATCAATTCATCAGAACAGTTAGGAGTTCCATGCTGTTGTTTTTTTTTTTCCTCAACATGCCATTTTAAACCACGCATATATATAGTTCCATTAATTAACATCAAGAACAACCCAATCCACACTACAACCCACCCAATAAAATAAAATAAAATAAAATAAAATAAAAATCTTACCAGACGCCGCCGTCCCGGCATACACAGCCTGAATGTACCTCTCCGGCATCTCTCCGGCAGCCCGAACGAACGGCCCGTCCTGCAGCACAACGCAATCCCCGACCCCGCGCCGCCACCGACCGCCCGCCACCGTAACCCAAAAAGCCCCGTAGTTCCCCTCTCCCCCTCACAGCCGCCGCATCCAACGCCGGCGGACGATCAGGCGCGACAGAAAGATCCCGATCGCCGGCGTTGGTAACGCGCGGCGGGCCTGTCGCCGGGAAGAGGAGGGTGGGAGGGGCCAGAAGCAGGCACGCGAGGAAGGAGACATGCTAGGCAGACGCCGAGAAAGAGCGCGGTCGACGGATGGCAAGAGGGTAGAGGTAGGCGAAGCTAGTCGACGGCGGTGATGAAGCGCGTTCCACCGGAGGAGAAGCCAGCGCCGCAGCGAGGAAGTAGAGAGGTAGGCGTAGGCGGAAGGAGTCCGAAGGGCGGCGGCGCTTTCGCCGGCGAATGAGGAGGGCGGTGGCCGGGGTCTTTCCGGATGTGGGGTCAGCCATGTTCAGGGGAAGAGTTGGAGGAGGGGAGCTGTGATCTTGACTCGTATACTACATGGCTATTTTTCATTTTATTATCAATTTTTTATTTTTATTTTTATTTTTTTTAAATCCAGCCTAGAATTGAGACTGAGCGTGGGTGGGGGTCATCATGTTGAAATTTGCTAACCGTTGTTCAGATGGGTGCAGAACTTGCTGTTAAGCGTCCGTTTGTTTTGATTTTTTTTTGAAAAGGAAAGTACGCCAGGCTTTCTTGCAAAAACATCAAGAAAATTTGTCAAAACTGACAGTTTTTGGCAGCTTTCACACCACTTTCTTCTTCAAAAAAAATTAAAACAAACGGGCCCTAAACTACAACGACTTGGGTGCTCAGCATCAGAAAAAAATCTTAAGGTTTCGTTTGGATATCATGCTACTTTACTCGTTCCATATGTTTTTATCAAAAACAAAATACCATGCTGTTGGAAACCACGATGTTTTTTAGCTAAATCATCCTCAAATCAAATACTTAAAACTTATTTCAAAACAACTTTTAGACGTTTTAAGTTTGGCGTTTTGGTTTTGAGTTTGGGGAAGCGTTAATATAAAATCTAACATAACATATTAATTGTAATTAATATATAGTTATTATCGGTATGCTAATTATATTATATTATACTATACTATAGTCTAGTTAATCTAATATATTAGTAGTATTTATTAAATAATATAAAAATATAATACTATTATATCTTATATATTAATATAATAATGTAATAAATACTAGTATAACTGTTAATACTAAAATAATTTATTGCTAACCAATGTTAATGTAAAAATAATATATTCATAATATAATAATATTTAATTATATCATAAATTATTAATATATTATTAAAGTATTATTAATAAACTCTAACGTGTTAGAAACTATAGTATATTATATAATATTAAAACGTATATAATATATTAATAATATACTTGTAATAACATAATATTATATTAATGATATTATTATATGATATATGACAATAACAATTTGATATACCAAAATAATTAATAATATAATAACACATTAAAGTACAATATAATATTATAATATATAATAAAATATTATATTGTAATGTATTTAATATTTATAATATATTTTATTATAATTAATATATAATATTATTAATAATATGTTTAATGCTAATGTTGTAACGGTCAAACTAGTGTTGAACAAAAACAACATGGTGTTTTGAAAATGCTTTTAATGGAAAAACAGAACACCATGATATTTTTTTACAAAAACACAACAAGAAAAACAACAATGTATCCAAACGAAGCCGTACCATTTTTAATCGCAATCTAATACCCTTTAATAAATGTTTTCATAAATGCGAATTAGATACTATATTATGAATGCCTGGCCCATTTTCAAAAAACCCTTCTTAACTTTGGACGGTTATTAGATAATCTCCGTTAACTCTAAAGATATCACAAAATCACCTTAACTTTAGAGATTATCAGAAAACTCCCTTTAAATTTTAGATTTTATCACAAAACTCATCTAATAGAGTTAAACTTAATTCTCGTACGGATTGGCGTTTCGGGTCGAAATCAATTGATGAAAGTTCTTCAAAGTTATGGTTCGTAGAGCAAGGTTTTAAATATCGGATATCGAAGAAATATCGGATGACCAAAATTCATATTGGATTGTGGATATCGGGGATATGTGGTAAATATCGGAATGCCATAATGAATGTTTGCATACATAGTAGAATGCATTAAAATGTAATCTCAACATATGTAATGAAATTTAAGCATACAAAATATGAATAATATATGTTTAGGATCACTAATCAACCTTCTAAAACAAACAAAAGTGCAAAGCAACGTTGCAACATTCGATCTGCTTTTTTTAGGGCAAAATATCATTTGATATAATGGGGAAATCTTGATATCTGTTGCAACATTCGATCTGCTTTTTTTAGGGCAAAATATCATTTGATATAATGGGGAAATCTTGATATCTTGCCCAAAAATCCCAAACACGGTATATTATTTTGCAACAAGCTATATAAAAAGATATATTGGTCCACATATCGGCTAATATATCGGCCATATCGGGGATTTATCACTCGAAATAGCAAAAAAGCGGTAAAGGATATTTAAAGACCATATCAATTGCGGCAAACCCTGTAAAAGGATATATCGGGAGATATATCAGGTCATGTCGGGGATATTTAAAACAATGTCGTAGAGAGAGTCTTGTGATTCCTTTGCTAGAAGTTTTATGGAATGAACTTCTCCAAAAGGCATTGAGGCTTGATGCCCCACTAGACTTACAAGCTATAGAAAAAACTTGCAACAAATATTACAGCCGTTTTGGTGGGAGAAAAGGCTACAAGATTCAAAGAAGGAAAGTAAAAGCTAAATATAAATTTCAGCTCATAAAAAAAATTAAATCCAAATAGAAAACAACCACCCCCTAATGATTCTTTATATGGCAAATTTATGTTGCTTTTGTACAAATTATTTTGAACTCAACACTAAATTTGCATTGAAAATACATTTCATAGAATATAATTACAAACATCCAAATAGTGAATTTGAAGTTAATTTCCTACAGTAAATGCTACATGTAACATTTGTTGCTACAACATTTGCTGCAATCTATTTATGGGGCAAACCAAACAACCCCTTATATTAATAATAACAATATTGTTGTTGTTGATTTGATAAAAAAAAAGCTGCCCCTTAATAAAACAAAGGAGCTTCTTGAAATAGCAGGTATAACACTTTTTTTAAACTTTATAGATGGAAGGGTAAACGAATCAAATTTATTATGGTGTGTTTGGATGGATGGTTGAGGAGGGAAGGGGAAGGGAAATTTAGATTTACTCTTGTTTGAGAGTTCTATTAGGAGGGTAGAGGAGGGGAAGTTAGAAAAAATTTATACTAAAATCTTAACCCCCAAATTGGGGGGTACGGTAGGAGAAGGGAAGAGAAGGAAAAATTTAACCTTACTTCACTTCCCTTAGTGATCACCCAAACAAGCCATTATAGTATAGCCATAAGTTAATTAATTAATAAGTTTCAAAGTGAGAGAGACGCGTCCCGTCTACATTTGTCTAATATGAGAAAATCCTTTTCTTTGAAAACAATATTTTAGTTCATCTTATAAAAAAAAACTAGTTTATTGCCATTACGCGAGTCACAAACAATTGAAACCATTGTCAACAACGCTAGATACGATTTCTTTATTATTCTAGGAAATTAGAAAACTGTATAAAAATATATTCTTTTTTCAAAAATAAAAGGAAAAATTTGATACTGTCAAGAATGGGATTCGAACCCATGCCCTTTCGGACCAGTACCTGAAACTGGCGCCTTAGACCAACTCGGCCATCTTGACTCCTCGCGATTAATTTTCAGGGTTGCTGATAATTAAATCGAACAACGCGTCCAAGATGCGCACATACGAAACCCCACAAAAAAATGCGTCCAAGATGCTAATAATTTACTTTTCAACCCACCAAGAGGAGGAAAAAGAAAAAAAAAAACCCCAAAAAGGGGGAAAATAAATCTTAGATCTAACCCTCGATATTCCCCCAACCAGCTCGCTCGCTCGCTGCGCCCCCTTCTCCTTCCTCCCAATTCGCTCCCTACACTTGGGGCCCGTCGCGATCCTATCAACTACACTTTAAGAAAAAAATTAAAAAAAGCTCCCATTGTTTCATTTGTTTAGCCCCCTTTCCCCTTGTGCGTAACTTTTCAGGCGTCACTGCTTCTCCGACGACCCCACCCCTTTCCCCTTTTCGAGCTTCCTCCCTTCTCTCTCTCTCAATCTCTCTATTAAACTTTCTCCACCCCCCCTCTCTCTCTTCTCGATTGATGAATGAGCTGCAGATCAAGGTAGCTCAGGCCGTCCACGGTGCTAACCCAACAGACGCCCGAGAGTCCAGCAACCGCGTCGCTGCACGCAAATGGCTCGTCCAGTTCCAGGCACCCGACGCGACGTGGAGGGTCGGCGCCTCCCTCCTCGCCTAGCGCGAGCGACCGGCCGCGACTCTCCCGCCGCTTCCTCTCGCCCGCCGACTTCGAGGTCGAGTTCTTCGCCGCGCAGATCCTCAGGCGCAAGGTAAGTGGAAAAGTTTCCAACTTTTTAACTGGATGCATTTTTTTTTTGTGGGGGCGGAGATTATTATTTTTGTTTTTTTTTTCGGTGGGCAGATTCAGAGCGAGGGCTACTACCTGCAGCTGGGAGTGAAGGACGCGCTGCTTAATGCCCTGCTTGTTGCTGCCAAAAGATTCAGCTTGGGCCCGCCTCAGGTGAGTAGAGTCTAAGAACTGATGCATTTCGAGGTAAAACCCATGTTTAACTGAGAACTTCGGTTTTGGGAACCTATTTGCTTGCTTGAGGATAATTCTGAGAAAAAGCCCACGTTTTGGCTTTAGCATTGGTTTTGTGTTTTGGTGCATTTTGATGCGTAGGAAGAAAACGCAATGTGTGAGCGCCCTGGCATATTCTGATAGGGTTTCGCTCGGAGTGAGGTAAAGCCTGATGTGTTATTGTGGTGTTGACTGAGAATTTTTGGTTTGGGAACCCGATTGCTTGTCCGGGGGCAACGGATGATAACTCTAGGAAAACCCATGTTTTTGTCTAGCATGGGGTATAGAAAAAGATCTGTTTTTGGTTTATCGCATTGGCCAAGAGTGTCATTTGGGATAGAATTCTTACTATATAGTGTACTGACTGAGTGGCACTTCTGAAGATTTTGTTCCTTCGGCATTGTCCACAGCTTTAACTTGTGTTTTCGGTGGTAGTGCCAAGTGTTGGTGTCAGTATCCATTTCTTAGCCTACAAATGCTGCAAAAGGAAAACCATTTTGTTCTTAGCCTACAAATGCTTAAATATGTATTGCTCTGTCAATGTCAGGATAGGGAAAAGGTTACTGCCCCAGGGATGCACACAATGCTACTGAAGTGGTTAGTAAATACCAATAGTGGTGATAAAAAAAACTGCGCATTAAAACACACATATACTAAGAGCTTTAGTATTTGCTGTTCCATGTGAACTGTTATTCATGAAATTGCGAATCATGGGATGACATTGCTAATACAAATTCATGTTTTTGGTTCCTCATGATTATTTAGCAAATTGAACTTCCTGATATTTGTTAGGTTCTTAGGTATATCTGAATTTTTTGAAATTTGGACACAAATACAAGTACCTTCCAGTACCTGAGTGTACTTACCATCACCATTTCTAGCTCTATGAATCAAAATTTACTTGATTCAAAAAATGAATTACAACTCCACTTCCTAATTGAAAAATGAAGGTTAAAAGCTTAAAACTTTAACTGGATTTGGAATTCCTTGGTTATAAGAAACCAAACAACCTGTTGGACCAAATGTTTGAGGCAGTGCTCGATACTTCCAATAATATGCAAAAAAAAGTCCTTATGTTGGACACAATTGTAGCAACTTATATGTGGAAAGTGGAGGGTCAATCACATCCTCTTTATGTTCTCGAGTGCAAGCATTTCAAGGAGCCAATGCTGAATGAAATCAGGAATGGATGTATATACCTCACTAGGGGTGCAATTGTACCCCTAAAATTTGCAAATTAGCATTTAACCATTCTTATGTTTACATTCTGAAACCCCCACCCCCAATTTAAAAATTTTCACCCCAGCCTATCTCAAACGTCTAAAGCAATAGTAGTCATCTGTATATGCGTATTATAAATTAAAAGCTATTTGAATTTCATATCTAATGGCCCAAACATTATAAATTCAAAACCAACAACACTATAAAGTCTAATACCAAAAAACCAAAAACCCAAAACTAATAGTAAAAGTCAAAAAACCCATTTCCCTCCATCTCTTTGTTATTTCACTGATTTGAATTCCAAAGACCTAAGCGGCCAAACCCTTACTCCATTCTCATCTCTGCACAGTAATCCATTGGCACTGGCCGCCTCTTGGACCACTGCGTGCACCCCACGCGGCCTGGATCGCCTCTTGGAAGTGAGACATCTATGTCAAGTTTGTCCGGTCCTCCTCTTCTCTCCTCAACTTTACAGTAAGTGCAAATGAGGTGTATATTATATTATTAGTTTTTAGATAAATAGATATTTGTAGTTTACCGCCAGTAAAATTTTTCTATACCCGCCTCTAGATGACATAGATGGTTTCTTGTTGATAACTATGTCATCGGGGACCAGGAGGACATTGCTCCTTGTTTGTTCTTCCAAAACACTTACATTGGAAACATTACCCTTCTTGATGTTGACCATGTTTTGCAAAGGCTTGATATGCAGCAGTTCTATAGGGATGCATGGGTAGAGAGAGAAGAGACAGAGGGATTCTTTCTTTGGAGATAAGGTCATTATAAAAGACTCAAAAAATGCACTATGAAAATCACTGCAGCCAATGTTTTAAAGCTCCTATCTAGGCCTAAGTGGTATCTAGACCGCCTGCCTAGTTCTTAGGAGTGCCTAGGAAGCCGAGATCGCTCACGAGGATTGCACCGCTCAGGTCTTAGTCGTGATTTTCTTCGTTGTTGCCTCCACATCCTTTAACCTCCTTCAAACTCTTTCGACCGCCTCTACTGACTCGAACACATCCTCACCTTCTCCAAGTCTTCTGACCTCCAACAAAAACTTCTCCGTCACCACTTCACAAAAAAGGATGTCCTCCTGGGTAGGGGTGCAAACAAACTGAATTCGAATCAAATACCCTAGTATTCGTATTTGGTCCGTATTCGACTATTTGAATTCAATTAGGATAGTATTCGAATATTCGACCACTATTCGCAAATATATCCGTTAATAGTATTTGGGTAATCTTTACAAATTATTCGGTCCATATTTGCTAGATATTTGGCAAATATTTGTTATCTTAGTCTTGAAATAGAGTCAAACATGATATACCTGATGAATATGTAACATCATTATATATATTGTTCGCAAATAAAAAACTATTTATCCACATTTACAAGTTGCAAAATGAAATTTTAAGGGCTAAACTGTATAAATTAATAGTTTATTAAACAAACGAATCGAATATGCCTATGGTTAAATTCTATTCGTTTATGAACCGAATAATAAAAACTATTAATTTAATATTAAATGAACTATTGAATCGAATATGACTGAATACCTTAGGCGAAAAAATACCGAACTATTTGTTAAATATTTGGTTCATTTTCACCCCTATTCCTAGGCTTAGTGCTTACAGCCTAGGTGCCAGTTTGGCACCTAGCGGTGCCTCTTGCTTGCAATTCATTAAAAATTAAAAAATACCTAGGCCCCGCCGAGATGCGTAGGCTCTAGGCTGCAGGTCCGACGCCTAGGCCGTCTAGCGCTTTCTGTAACCTTGATTGTAGATGATAAATACATATATGTGTAGACCTAACTTGTGAAAGGTGAGTTGTGAATTAATAATGGTTAATATAGTGAATGTCTTGCTAATCTGGTCAATTTAGGAAATTAGTTATAAAATTCGTAGTTGCTAAAGGGAGAGTGGAGAGAATAATAGGACAAGAAAGAGAAGAGCGGGGCAAACATTTAGGTTAGCTTAAATTAGATACATTATGAATAACTAGATACATTATGAATAACTAGAATATAAGCACGTGCAAATGCACATGATATGAAAAATTTATATTCCGAATATGACAATGTTATTAAATTTCAGCTATTTTATGAGTGCATATTCTAATATCAAGATGAACATTTTATCAATGTGATTCTTTTTCTAAAGAGAGAACGTGATTTAAGTTTTTTGGTTTTTTATATATTAGTCCCTTAAATATTCAATAATTGCATATTAGTCCATCAAATCTTATAAATTGCATATTAGTTCCTTAAATCTTCAATAATTGCATATTGGTCCCCAAATCTTAGAAATTGCATACCTCAAATCTTATAGGCTCTTGCAAAATTGTTCCTTAACTAGTATATTAATTAAAACCTAATCATGGTTAGGTTAACTCTTAAACTAAAATCTGCAATCACCAAACTATCCCTCCCTGATGTTTCAACCCTTTGTGAAGCTCAACTTCAGGTTTTTTGCTAACTATTGGATAAGAACTCAAGTAAATTTTGATTTATTTTAAGCCAGTATTGGGTTTAAACTTATTAAGAAATGAGTTGGGGAACATTAAAGAGGGGTAAAATAGTCACTTTACCTCCAAACATTAGATTTGGCGGAATACTCCCCAAATCTAACGGGAGTTAACTTGAAAGACCATTTTGGAAGACCCTATTAGGATTTGAGGGACTCATATGCTATTTTCAAGATTTGGGGGACTGCTATGCAATTATTGAAGATTTAAGGGACCAATATGTAATTTTCTAGATTTGAGGGACTGATATGCAATTATTGAACATGTAAGGGACTAATATCTAAAAAACCCTAAAATAATTTGTTTTTCTCAAAAATATAATCAAATAATATTTACAAATCAGCATATGAAAAGAAGGCTAATTTAATACCAGTTCTATATAAAATAATTTTCCATGCTAGAGTTAACATGCCAAAATACTGAGAAACATAATGTAATAATTAAATCTCCCTGGAAAGTGAAATTGTGATTTCATTAAAAATGAAACAATTTAACTTAACTAGGGGGGGGGGGGGTCTAATCAA